CTGTTTCAATTGAGGACCAGATATGTAACCTAAAAGTAATCAAAAGCCTTAATGAAGTAAATATCAATTTAAAAAAAAAAATTCAATATCCATCTAGGACTAAAACCTTTTGGTAAACTCAGTATAGAAGAGGATTTCTTTTATTTAATAAGGCACATCTGCAAAAAAATCTACAACAAACATCATAATTAATGGTGAAGTGTTGAAAGCTTTCTCTCGGGAACTGGAGACAAGACCAGGACTCCACGAAGACACTTTTATTCAGCATTGATTTGGAGGTTACAGCCAGTGCAGTAAGGAAAGAAAAATAAATAAAAGATATAAGGAGTGTAAAAGAAGAAATAAAACTACCATTATTCACAGTTGATATGTTACCCAGAAAATCCCAAAGAATCTACATATAGATGATTAGAATGAGTATTTGATGGAGGCAAGGTCAATATATAAAAATCATTGTACCAGCAACAAATAGAAAATGAAATTTAAAAACAAGTACTGTATTAGGTATCAATTGTTGCATAACAAACCACTTCAAAAACTCAGTAGCTTAAAAAAACCCAAAAATTATTTTTCACGATTCTGTAGGTTGGCTGGGCAGTTCTTCCGCTGGCCTTGTCTGGGGTCCCTCATTTAGCTGGCATTTCAGCTGGAGCTGGTGGCCTAGGCTGGCCTCACTCGAGTGTCCGGGGCCTCTCCTGAAACGGCTGGAACGTCTGGGCCTCTCTCTGCAGGCTCTCTTTCATCTCAGGTTCTTCATAGCATGGCAGTCTCAGCACACGGGGCCGAGGGGGCAAGAGCAGAAGCCCAGGACCTCCTGAGACCTGGGCTCAGAAGTCACCTGCAGCCACTTTGGCCATATTCCACTGGCCAGCCCAGAGAAGGGGTGGGTATAGACTCCATCTGTCTATAGGAGGAGATGAAAAGAATTTGCAGCCATCTTTAATCCATCAAAGATGCCACTTACAAAATGTCGTTTACCTAGGAGTAAATCTAACAGTCGATGTGTAAGACCTCTACAAAGAGAACCATAAAATATTATTAAGAGAAATAGAAAATCTAAGGTATCCGAGCCATTTTCGTCAGAGTCGTCTTTTCCACTTCCCCTCGCTCTTTGTCTGCAGTTGTAACAGTTTCTTCTTGCACTTCTTGGGAAGTGCATCATCAGCACAAATTTTTCTCATTTTACTGTTTGGTAGTTTCTTCAGATCAAAATCCCATTCCCTCCGAGTTTTCAGATTACCTGCGTTTTACAACGTCTGGAATCTCAAGGCCGGATCCTTCATACTGCTGTGGCTCACACTCCCTCGTCTGCTCAGTGACTGTCTTGTGGAAACAGAGCCGCCTTCCCTGCCCGTCTTTGATGCTGTTATGTAATTCGGTCTGCTCCAGCTCACTGCTAAATCGATTTAAATACCTTTCAGTTAATTCACAGGCATCTTTCTTTGAATACCCTACTTTTGGGGGATCAAGATGATTTTGAAACCACTGCAATTTTTCACCAACAAGGTTGAGACACAATGCCTTTTCATTCTTCAGCTTTTCCTTTTTCTCTTGTTTGTGAGCCTTTCTCGTATAGCTACTTTTCTACTATACAGATGGGTGACTTGTTTTTCTCCCATCCTACACTTTTTCCCTTTGATGCTTTAGGCTTGGTGATGTCCTTGTGGCCCCGGGGGACCTCTGCACTCCAGACCCGGGCAACCTCACCAACAGCAGTGGCAGAAGCTCATGGGCAGCTCCAGGCCAAACACCTGTGGGGCCGGGGAAGCTGGGGCAGACCCTACTTTCTTATCACTTAAGAAATTTCAAGGGTTTTAGGAGCTCTGTGCCAGAAACATGACCAAATACACATTTCTTATCATAAATCACAATATCACAGAACCCAAAGCAGAGTCAAGCATGTATGGACACTTGATTTTCCAGAATCACTGCAGAGCATGGGGTGAAGACAGCCTTTCCAAAAACCACGAATGAGTGGGGTCCATATGATACAAAAGAAAACGTGGCCTCCTCCCTCACATCATGGACAAAAATAATTCCAGGTGAGCTGTGGCTCTGAAGGTGAAAGGCACAACAATGAAGCTTCTAGCAAACAACCGAGGATGGAGTGTTATCCAGCCCTAAGGGACCAGTGACCCGCAAGTGGGTTCTTTTGCCCAGAGCCACTCACGTCAGTAGAATGAGACCAGGTTCAGAATAGCAGAGCAGAAACTTTGTTCGTTGATCAACGAAAGCAGGAGGCAGAGCTGTGCTCTAAAACACCTTCTCCCCGAAGGGAAGGGGAGCAGGGTTCTTATGGGATGTGAAGGGGGAGGGGTCTCCATGTCACTGCCTCGGGTGGGGGCATCTGGGGAATGTGCAGATCTTCCCTTCTTGCACACGGCACCTTTTGCACGTTTCCTTTTTGCGCAGGGCACCCCATCGCCGTCTTGGATCTTTCTGGTTTGGACCAGTCCTTCGGTTTGGCCATCTGGCACTGTTCTGCCTTGGTTTCTGTAAGCAAGCACAACTGAAAAACAAAGCATTAGACATGGAGAATGTTTTAGGGACTTCCCAAGGTGACAGGAGTATTTCATATTTTCTTGACTTTGGGGTAGGGAAGTGTAACCACGGGCCCTCCAGGATCGGTTTAACTGACCCCATCTCTCATCAACAGAGTGATTAAGAATTGTCTTTCAGAAAAACTGCAAAGTCACGTAGCCAGGGGCATGCGCAAAAGAAGAAATTGTGACCTGAAATGACCTCGGAACCAAAGATCCTCCTTCCCACGGAATCAAAGGACCAGGACATGACTGGAACTTGAAAGTCAGACTCTTACCAGAAGCCAGGGGTCCCTCACTCAGGAAGATCTGGTGTTAAAATCCCTTCCCCATCTCATCAAGAATGTTTAGAACCCCGTCATAAATGTTTATAACCCCGTCATAAATGTTTATAACCTTACGACAAATGCTTGAAGGCCACCTGTCCCACCGGTGCTTTTGCATGCCAGCCTGTTCTCCCTAACCGCTTAAATTTTGCCCCAAATCCTGAGTAGGAGAGAGAGATCTGAGGGCAGCCCTACCCCCATCTCCCTGCAGACGGATCTCACACGATAAAAGCTCATTTCTCCCCCAAAGGCTGATGCCATAAAGAATTGGTTGTTGATGTGCGTTGGGCAGAGAACCCCAATTTTGTGTGGTAACAGAAGCACATTTTGAAAAAGACACAAAAGTACTAGTCATGACAGACAAGCCTGAAGAATTCTGCAGCAAAAGTAAGGATTGCTCTGGAGGAACTAACAGAAATAACAAAGTATTTAGAACTTAATGAGAATGAAAGTGCTGCATAGCAAACCCTGTGGGAGACAGTGAAAGCCACTCTCAGAGAGAAATGGATCCCCTCCACTGTATTCACGTGAAAACAAGAAAGATCTAAACATAAGTGAACCAAACTGTCCACCTCTGAAACCAGAAAAAGAACAACAAAATAAATCCAAAGACAATAACAGGAAAGAAAATAAAAGTGGAGATTAGTGAAACGGAAAACAAACAAAAAAACAGAACAGAATCAAGAGCTTGTGCTTTGAAAAGACTTATCAAATAGACAATCCTTCAGCAAAAAGCACCAAGAAAAAAAGAAAGAAGACACAAATAAACAACACTGGAATTAAAGAGAGGGCATAACCAAGAAATTAAAAAATATGATTAGGAAAGACTTAATACCCCACATTTGAAAACCTCAATGAAATGGACACTTTTCTAGGAAAACATTTATTAGCAAAATTGGCTGGGGAAGAAAGAGAAAAATCTGAATAGGTCAATAACCAAAAAGGAATATGAAATATTAAAGACCTATCCCCAAAGGGCATCTGGAAGTTGTGTACATAAAAAACAGAGACACCTAACCTTGACAATTATTAGCTAAAAATGCAGGAGAATATCTTCGTGACCTTGAAGTCGGGACAGTCCTCCTAAATAGGAGAAAACAGCAAAGCCGTAAAGGACAATGTTAATAAATGTGACCATACGGAAATCTAAAACACCTATGCTACAGGATACTTGAGAGTTCCAAGACAAGCAGCACACACATTTGCTCCATTTCTATGTATTAGAGGCAGAATACGAGTATCCAGAATGTATGACAGCCTGCTACACATCACAGTAGAAATGCACAAAGGCCCCGATGGGACTGACTCAAGAAATAACTCATTCCCAAACAGCTGAGCAACACCAAGAGCTGTGCAACTTCAAGTGAAAACAACAGTGAGACACCTGCACGCACTGATCAGTGAGCAAAAGGCCTAAAGTTTGATGATATCAATGTCTGAGAGGCTGTGGGGCAACCCATACTTCCCCCTGCTGGGGAGAATGTCAGTGGGAGGGCCCCCCTGCACGACAGTTAGTGAAAGCGTGTGTGCTATTACCATGAGCAACTCCACTCGTATGTTTTTATCCAAAAAAGAAAAAACATACAGGATGTGTGCACTTGAAGGTTTATACAACGATGTTCATTTTAACATTTAAAAAATAATAGCAGTTTGCTATTTAAATGTCCACTGATGGGTAGACAGGTAAGTAGACTACATGTGTTAAAACGATAGCACATTAAATAACAGTCAAAATGAACAAATTAGAGCCATATAAATCAACACGGCTCAGTTTCAAAAGTATTGCTGGGCGAAAAAAGCAAGATACAGAATAATATGTACAACATGATACCATGTTTATAAAACACAAACAATGTAATATAGTTGCAGGTACATACACGTGGGTAAAAGTATTTTAAGACATCTGGAAGGATACAGGCCACACTGACAGTATTGATGGAATATTGAGGGGTCTCTGGAGGACAGGGGGAGGCAAGGAAACCAGGAGGGGGGTGGATTAAAGGGAACATTAATTTTTTAAAAGGAGAAGATGAATGTAATGTTCATGCATATCTAATAATAATAATACGGGGAGCTGACAAGAGCAGACATCCCAGGTTTGCCATCTTGTCGTGGAGTGAGTGTGTGTTCGCAGATGGAGGTGCACTGGCGGGCCGTGTGCATGGAGCGGCTAGTTATTCAGTGTGCAGGGTGTTTGAACAGGTGCCTGGGCACAGCCTCCAGTGAGCGTAAAGGTGGCTTGGGGCGGCTGGAGCCAGAGGCCAGCCCAACGTTCCTCCATTCATTAAGTCTTTTCTAAGCACCCAGGATAACTCCATAAAAGGGAGCAATAGTTCAAAAGTCTTTAACGTGATTTTTGTTCATGTCCCAGCTGGTCTGAGGCCATCTATCTGAATGAAGGGAGAGCAGGACTTATCACAGAACAAATGCAATGAAAAAGAATAAGCTAAGAAGATTTTGCAAAGAAAGATAGCAGGCTTACAAGTCAGGCTAATTTTTTTTTTTTTTTTTTTTTTGGGGTTGACCAGCCCTTTGCAAAAATCCAATGCCATCCTCCTCTTTCTTTGCTGAGGAAGACTGGCCCTGGGCTAACATCCGTGCCCATCTTCCTCCACTTTATATGGGACGCCGCCACAGCATGGCTTGCCAAGCAGTACGTCGGTGTGTGCCCAGGATCCGAACCGGTGAACCCAGGGCCGCCGCAGCGGAGTGCGCACACTTAACCGCTTGCGCCACCAGGCTGGCCCCCAGGCTATTATTTTGATAGGTTTTTCTAAATTCCTGTATTCCCCCACCGTAGTTAGATCCAGCTACTGTAATAAATACCCAAACAGTATTGGCTTAAATCAGACAGAAGTTTATTTTCCTTACGGAGGAGTCAGAACACAAGCAGTCCAGGGCGATATTGTGGTCTGTGCTATCGGGGACCCTGGCCTCTTCCCTCTTGTTGCTCTGTGTCCTCCACATGTGGCTTCCATCTTATAGTCTCAGATGGCTGCTGCGGTTCCCACCATCACATCCTGACACCCACCTGGCAGCCAGCAGGAAGCAGGGAAGAAGTGGAGGGCCTGCCCTTTTGTTTTGCAGGCACAACCAGATTGCACACATCACTTCCATTCTTGTCTGGAAACCAGAACTTGCTCCCATGGCCCCTCTAAGATGTAAGGGTTGCCGGGGAATGTTGTCTTTATCTGGGCAGCCACTCACCCAGCTGAAACTCGGGGCTTCTAGTCCTAAAGGACAAGGGGAGGAAGGGATATCGGGGCCAATTAGTTCCTGCCACACCCTTCCGCATATCAACAACCAAGCCTGTGGAGCAGGTCATGTGCATTCACTTGGTTCTAGTTTCCGGCCCCAGGACAGTGTGGGAGGCCATAGGGAGAGGAGGGCAAAGCAGGCAGATGTGAGCCCAGATCTCCCACGGTGGGCCTGGCTTAGGGGCAGGTGCTGTAGCCAGTGCAGGTAACGTGAGGCTGCCCCGAAACACCAAGTTGGTGGCATGGTATGGTCAGGCTGGGAAGGTCCCCAGGCTCAGCTTTCCTGAGCCAGCCTGGCTTCCTGTGCTGGCGTGGACAGAGTGCGGGACAGCTGAGGGCCCACCAAGAGGTGTCAGCAGAGCCCCGTGGCAGGGCAAGGTGGCTCTGCAGCAAGGCCAGAGTGTGGATTCACTGGTAGGGCTGCCAGACTTAGCAAATACAGGACCCTAGCTCATTAGGAATTTCAGATAAACGAGAAATGAATTTTAGTGTACGAATGTCTCATATTCCATTCATCGTTTATCCATAATTCAAATTGAACTGGGTGTCCTGTGTTTTATATGGAAACCCTACAAAGTTAGGGTTTTAGGAGGTCCAGCCAGGCCTCAGAGGGGTCTGGAGCCCCAACTGGGACCCATGTGAGCTCAAGGCAGACATGGGACCTCCAGGCTCATCCTGACCTGCAGAGAGACCCGGAACCACACGGGCCTGCAGGGCAGGCAAGCAAGCTGAGGCCAACAAGATCCTGCTCTTCCCTGCCCCTGGGCCACCAGAGGCCAACGCTGCCGAGAGGAGCAGTGAGGAGAGGCCCGGGCATATTTTTCCCCAGAGACTGAGCATTACCCAAGGGCTGTGTAAAGTATCTCTAAGAACTAGGTTTTCATCTTAGGACAAAAATTTTATTAATGTTTACCACTAACAGGCAGGTGAGGACCTGGGACCACCTGGTTGAATGCAGACCAAATAAAGAGTCTACATCTGTGGAGCTCACCTGAGCACAGCATAGCGAGCATGTGACCCTGTCCCCCTCACTGCACACTTCCCAGGGCTTTGCGATCTCTGTCCTCCCTCTGGATCACTGTCTCCTGCTCCCGAGTGACGGGTCCTCCCTGCAGCATGGTCAGGGCCCATAATCCACAGCCTTAGCATCCTCCTCACTCTCAGGGTTTATGGAAGCTTGGGGACTCATAAAGTTCAAAGTCTGCAACTATAATAAACAGGCCCGCTCAACTTGGCTGGGCAGCAGTTGTAGTCTAGCGCCAGATGCTCCCAGCTGCACAAAGGGGGTTGGGGGCTGGGAGAGGAGAGCCTCAGGCTGGCCCAAACTTTGCCCTGTGCGGGACCCCTCGAGTCCCGCCTCCCAGGCCCTTCTCCTCGAACTTCCCGCTTCTCCTCGCTGCTCAGGCCTCCGCTCTATCACGTTTACTGCGAACTTGTCTGTGGCCAAGGTGGTGGGAAGTGCCATTTCTGAGATGCCTCCCAGCCCTGTGCACTTGGAGCCGCACACTTACCGCAGAGCGCGTATTTGGGGGTGCAAACACTCGTGTTTTAATGGAGAACTACGCATTGTCTACATAGTGCACATCCTTGTTATGACTCTAGTCATTCAAAAAAGTTGCCTTTTTTACAACTCTTTGTAAGTTGTAAGTAACCGACGGACGTGCAAATCGCCTTGTCCAGTAGAGGTTCAATGATCCCCCCAGCCCCTACCCTGCGGAAAAGCTAGTTCTGCCCCGTTTACATATTCAATATTCCCGGTCTATAAACGGGTCTCTTTTTCGACTGTCTTTTGGTTATAACACCTGTCTGGTTCCTTCGCTGATTAACGAGTAAAGTCTTTAGCACTTGTCCACAGTTATACCTGAATGAGAACTACGATTTCACCTTTTTCTGAAAATTATCTTTCAATAACGGTTGGACGAGCTGAGTTCAGATCTCACTTTTACAGTTTACTGACTGTAAGATTGCGTAATCTCTCCAAGACGAACCTCAATTTGCATCCGAGAAACGGGCCTGGTGCGGATCGAGCGAGAACTGGCACACAGAACCGTTCCGGAACCCTGGGCTCGCGCCCCGCCC